CAGAGAAAGTCCTTTTCAGGGAAGCTTGCTTGTTGATGACAGCTCTGGTCCTGTTGGAATCAATGGGACCAATTAAGCTTAAAACACGTAATACTGCTGAAGTGCTTTTGGAACTGGGACCAAAAATTGAAGGAAAAAGCAAGCTTTCACCCTTCACAATGTGCCTTTAATCACTCTGGTTCTGATCAGTTTCTTAAATACAAGAAATTAATCGGAACACCCTATTAGTTGTGGGTAAACCACAACATCAGTAGATAAACATCAGCATGTTTATGTAGCCATTTAATAAAATGGAAATGTTTGGTTGCGGTTTTTAGTTCACGATTCAATGTGTTAAACGTGTATTTCTCCTTATGACTTCTGCTATATGTTGACCACAGGCCAATAAACATGGTAATTATTCTTTAAAAAAATAGCAGTAGTAGCTAAAAAATAAGGATATTTTTTGTGTAATTAGCATTTGAAATATCTAAGATTAACTGTAGTTTCAGTAGCTGAGTGCATATGAATACTGAATTTCATATCACCAAGAGGAAAAACATTTCAATGTATTTTAGGTTTTAAGTCTGGTTTCTAAACCCATTAAATGCTCCTGGAAATTTCCTTATGAAAATTTTGTAATAATGTGTCTATTTGAAATGCTTAATGTCTAAAGAGTATATAACACAAGCAGCTCTGACGTTTGGAAAGCAGTTTTTAATGAAGATAACAAAACGGGATGCTGGTAGGACGAAGGGGATAAACTTTACAAAATACTTAATGACTTTCATGAACTTATTAAGTCTTTCTTTTTGTGAGGGAGGGATTTGGAAATGCGAGTTAGATACTTTTCAGTGTTGTGGTTTTTATGCATTATGAGCCAAAGCTGATTTACTTTTAAGTGGTGTCTTTTTAAGCAATTTTTTAGTTCTTGCCGTATATTTTTGGGCTAAAACACAAATAATTTCAGTGGGTCAAAAAGTGCAATATTAAATAGTCCTGAGCACATACCTAGTTAGGGCATTTGACAATTGCTGCGGGATGGAATTTTCGTGTGTGTGAATATGTGTGAATTCAGCCCAAAGGTTTAACTGTGCAGAAGTTTCCAGCATAGCATTAGTTTTTCCATTTCAGATACCTGGCCCAGGGAAATCTTGACTTTCTTGTGAGGGAAACGTGAGTGGGCATCTTCTGCCCACTGCAGACATAGCCTTTACAGCTGGGTCAAAGTTTTGTGATTATTATATAAAGGAGCATATTTGGGAAGGCTTTTCTATGTCTTACTTCCTTCTGTTTCCCTAAGCAAAGGATCTCTCCTATCTTTCTGTTGCTTTGTTTAACCAGATATTTGAATCTGGTTTTATAAAACAGCTGGATTCTTTATTCCACCTTATTTCTTATCTTTCTTTATTCCATTCTTATAACCACCTTCCTAGTATTAGTTTTATGAATGCTCTGTAAGGTACATCATGTAGGCATTCTGCAAAAGCCTTTGCATGTTCCCTTTCCTGATGAGCAAGATTGTATCTATCTTTCTATTAATTAAATCAGAATTAATATACAGATTCACTGAATGTAGTGGAAGATGCATCACTAATGTGGACACCAACCATTGAAGTGCTAGATATCCCGGATGCGTTAACCTCAATAAATATTTGGAATATTTCCTTTTTGCTATATTTGTCATGACAGGAAGTGCAAATTGGCAGGAGGTGTGTGTCGGGGGATGCTTACAATAAAATTCTACATCTGTTGCCACACAAAAGTTGTGATCACTATTGATGTCATATGCTGTGTCAATCTGTGCTGCTCATGATTTTCTGAACATATATATGGGTGGCCAGAAGAGCACCCTTCTAGACCAGATCCAAATGTAAATGTGTATAGCACCATTGTAGCATCTGTATCTGTTGGGTGGATGGTTGGATTAGAAAAAACACAAAAATGTTTTGCAGTGTTTCAGTTCACCAGATAGGTGTCCATTAGAAGTGTGAAAACACTACAATTTCTGATGGTTTCTTTCTGCTGCTAGTGATGCATCTCTTAAAACAGGCAGTAAAAATGTTTGTTCGTGATTCAGTCTGTAGATTTCAGACGAGCAAATTAAATCTTGGAATACAGCAGCAGTGGAGGCTAATATGTCAAGAGGAGAAGATTTGGTCAGTTCACACTCATTTTCTTCCCTTTTACTAATGTAGCAGCATGTCATGAAATAGCTGGCGTAATGCATTGCAGAGCACATTGCATTTCAGGGATGCTTAAAGTATCTGTCTGTGTGTCAGATTGTGAAGTGCTTTGAGAACTAACCCACTAGAAATGATGATGATTTTTCAGGAAGCGGTATGATAAGGCTGAGTCAGAGTACGTGGCAGCCAAGCTGGACCTCCAACACAAGACGGAGATTAAGGAGCACCTCACGGAGCACCTGTGCACGATCATACAGCAGAATGAACTCCGCAAGGCCAGGAAGCTGGAGGAGTTAATGCAGCAGCTGGAAGTGGAGGCAGATGAGGAAAATCTGGAACTTGAGATAGAGGTGGAGCGGATGCTGCAGCAGCAGGAGGCAGAAGCAGGGAGGCAAGCCAGCCAGTCACACAATCATGCTGGGACAGCTAAGGAAAACCCCACTCCCAGTGTTACGGCACGGGAGAGTGAGCATGCTAACCGTGCTGTCGCTTCTCCTGCTATTTCTGAACAGTTGGTTCAGTCTGAAAACTTGGGTACCAAATCTCTCTCCAATATGGACAGCCAAACTCCAGCAGTAAATGTGACTCCAGGAAACACCCCAGCTTGTTCAGATACATGACTACTATATTCACATAAGCCAGCCGGTTATGGATGATATGCTCTCTGTGGGCTTGTGTGCTGTATGTTATATCTGGGTTTCTGCCGTGCCAGTAATATGCACTTCATTTCTCTTTTCCTTTAATATTGTTTTTTGAATTTTAGAGGCTCTTTTTTTCACAAGACTCTCATTTGGGGTTCACCGTCTGTCGTCTTCATTCTGGTTTAAGTTCATGTTCTAATGCCCAGCTCTTCATGGGGCTTTGTACCTTCCTGAAACAGGATACTTGGAAGCGAACACTAAGGTTTTTCCAAAGGCTTTCAGCATATTGATATCACAAGTACCTGTTCCAAGCAGTGTGCAAGAGATACGTATCTATGGGAGGAAACATTGCAACTTACTCTGCTTCTGAACACATTCTGTCCCCTGACAACTGCGATAGGATGTTTGTCTTCCTTTGTATCTGTAAGGGATTAGTTTTCAACGGTTTTTAATCCTGTGAAACCCAAATGCTTACTTTAATTATCTTCGCAGCTGATACTCTTTCCTGTACCTGATTTAAAGGAAATTTGCATATTGAGGCAAATTGCAGTCAGTTGTAATATTTCGTACTTATCACTTTGCCTATTTCTTTCAGGTCATGCTAGATCACACAAAGCTATATATTGATAACATTATTATCTATGAAATCACAGCAGCTATGATTTCACAAAAATGATCGGTTACAGTTTAAGACATTGCAGAATGTGTGATGTAGAAGTAGAAACAGACAAAAGAGACTGTGTTACAATTAAAGCTGTTCCATTACATTTTTCTCTGTCGTAGTTGCCTCAAAGTTCCAATAATTAGCCAGGGATCTTGTAATGAATAATCCCCACTGTATATTGGAAATGAGCCCATTTTTTTAAAATATTCAATGCATTTTCTTGCCTGAAGAGTGGGTTTGTACCCCAGAAGAAGTTCAGCTGTTTTACTCTGTTGCTGTTGAAAGGCTTTAAAAAGCTATTCAGGTGGAGAAAGTTTCATGAATTAAAATAGAGGACGTAGGAAAACCTCCCATAGACCAATGCAGCTGCAAACCATGGGGACAGCGTTCATAGCTATCCACTTTGTAACAGAGGAAGGCTGCTTTCATTGTGGAAATGGTTTCTGTAATACCTGACCTGAAAGTGTCAGTCAGAGTTCATGAATGAGTTACTGAATGATGCCATCGAGTATGTAAATGGGACACTGATTGTCTCTATGGCTTTAATAGTGGAAAAACATGTCACTACATTTCATTTTTATTCTATTAATAAATCAGTGCATCTTCTACACAGTGTGTTTACTTTCAGTTGTGATATCTGATATTAATACATGTATCCAAGACTTTTTCCACAGGAGGTGATAAATGACAATATCAGATATGTCCTTTGGCAACTTTCTGCTGTGTGAAAGTAAAACCTCGAAAAAGGCTGTTCCAAAATACAAAGACTTAGGAAGCAAAGACATGGCAGGATACAGCTTGGCAGGAATCTTTTCAGCTAACCGTGGCCTAAGGCAGCAGTGGAAAATCTCTACCAGTGCCTCCCATATACAGGAGAAAGAGGGATAAATCTGTTTCCTAGAGAAGCCACTCATAATCAGGGCTGACTGAAGTTAGAAAACTCCAAAGTAACATTTGAAATACGTATGAGGCATTGCTCTGTTGTTGCTGATACACTGCATTCCCTGTTATTTGGCTGGAAGACTTGGCCTAAAAGCCGAAGATTTGATTGTATTGTGAGAAGGTTGTGACTGACTTCCTTTGCTCTGCAGTTGCAGAACAGCTTGTAGCAACCTGCTTACGGTTTTCAAAACTGGATACCAGTAAGTGCAATAATAATTTAGTTGCACCATTCTTGTTTCCATCCTCTGCAGCTGTCCCCAGTTGCTCCCCAACAGAATCTAAGTCCTAGTAGATAGGTCTGTTCCTCATTACAGTTGTATTCAGCTCATCAGGGGACATACAGAAGAGCATCTGACAGAAGAGTTGAATTGTAATGGTATTTACAGGAAGCACATGCATACCATTTTGCATATAATTTGTGGTTCTCCAGTAGGCTAAAATGTAGTTGAAATAGTCCTACTGATTGCACCTTGTTGTTATGGATAAGATTATTGTTTGAACTCCTCAGACCAAAAAAGGCAAAAAATTATAAGTCCAAAGATCTTTTTGACAACTACTTAAGAATATGAGTCTCCTAGAAGGGAATAAGTTTATATCCAACAAAATTACTTAAAAGCTGAAAAATTCTCGTGTGCCATCCTGATAGTGCCGGCGCTGTTTCTGCCCGACAGGGAAGATGCTATTGTTAGAATCAGCAGTTTCTGTTCTCTTACAAGTCCCTCATCGAAGTTCTGGCCAGTTCTATCTGTCTTAACTTCTGAGCTTGCAAAATGAAGTGAACTGGCTGGAAGCCACATGAAACAGCCATTAGAAATAACAATAGGCAGCCTAGCATTTGGTCGCTCTCTCTAGACAGGGAGCTCAAGAGTTAAATTGTTTGATCTGAGTTATGAAGCCTTTCTCTGACGTGTGATATAAACCACTACCATGGTGTCAGTTCCACTTTGGAAGTTCGCAAATGTTTTGATGGGTGCCAGTGTGCCGGTTTAACATTCCCCCTATGCCGGAGCCAAGCAGTCCAGTCATAATTGTAACAACATGTGTGCTGGTCAGAAATGCCAGGAGATGATTTTGGTGCAACAATAGGGTTGGGTTTTTTCCTTATTTTTCCTTTAAGGAAAGAGAACAGTTGGAATTGAGGCTCTTCAAGCAAAAGCCATTTCTACCTTTGTAGTACTTGATGCATCTTACACTGTTTGGCTCTGCTGTCACTGGAGTGCATTGAAGGCAGGTGCACTGTCCACTCAGCTAGCGTGTTGTATCTTCAGAAAAATAGAAAAACTAAAAGTTCAGCATAAGTCAGGAATGGGTTGGGTGGGCAGATTTTTGAGTGACGGCCTCTTCCAGGTCGAGGTAGAAGTCTGAATGTGAAGCATGCTGGGGTGAACACCCATGGCAGGGAGAATAGAGCAACGTGTGGTATCTGATAGTAACACTGCAGGGCTCATCACAGGGGACTTGCATTCTCCTGTGGCAATGTAGCCATTTCTGCATTGGGCTACCACATTACCATTATGGGAGGAAGTGGAAAACACCGATATATACCACTGTGAGAATGTTACAAAGCACAGTATAATTGCCCGTGTTGCAGTTTGGCCAGGATGTTGGGATTAACACTACCTCCTCTGTCAAGAAATGTTTAAATGAGCACAGATGGTCATGGCTCAGCCTGGGGTTCCCATGGAGGTCTACTGCGTGGTGTAAAACACTTGGACAATCCCCAATCTGATTGTATATCCAGCCAACTGAAGTTGGGCTCTCAAGAGGTTTCATCTTAGGGTAGCTGTCTGGGGAGAGACTCATTTCCCCCCCCAGCCATTCTTCTTCCTATTACCTTCTGTGATGCAGTGGAGTCTTCCCTTTGAGCCTCTATCCCATCCAAACAGAATGAGAAAAAACTAGTAAGAGTGAAAAGTAGCGACTGGCCTAGTGGTTGGGGGTACTGTGTTTCCTGGCCAGCTTTATTAAGAACATGCTAGAAAGGATTGCGTATGGGAAAGTTACCCTATTCTGGGGAAGTTCTGGAGCCAAAGAAAGGGGCAGAGCACTATCAAATTGCCTCCCACACTGGGATTCGCTCTGTTCTGCATTTTCTGCATTTTAGCCTGGAGAAAAGGAGGCTCAGGGGAGACCTCATTGCTCTCTACAACTACCTGAAAGGAGGCTGTAGCGAGGTGGGTGTCGGTCTCTTCTCCCAAGAGAGAAGAGACTGGTGAAAGTACGAGAGGAAATGGCCTCAAGTTGCGCCAGGGGAGGTTTAGATTGGACGTGAGGACGTGAGGAAAAATTTCTTTACTGAAAGAGTGGTTAAACATTGGAACAGGCTGCCCAGGGAAGTGGTTGAGTCATCATCCCTGGAGGTTTTTAAAAGACATATAGATGAGGCGCTTAGGGACATGGTTTAGTGGGCATGGTGGTGTTGGGTTGACAGTGGGACTCGATGATCTTAGAGGTCTTTTCCAACCTTAATGATTCTACGAGATTCTATGATTCTGCTTAGGACAGTAGGATCTACAGTTTTTCTGTTCCTAACACTCTTTTCTCAAGGTTCAAACTTGGATCAAAATCCCTGTGATACGAATTGTCCCAACCTGAGGCCTGGTACTTTACCAATGCCCCTTATGTGGGATCTTTGAGCAGCTGCTGGTCCTGGACTGAGTTTGGTACTTCCGTGTGATTCTGTGTACACATAGCATCTTGGGTCTCTATGTTCCACTCTTGTGCATGCCATAGCTGTGTATAATGGTTCATGCAGTGGCTGAGAGCTAGATAAAATCTTTATGCAGGCCTGATCCAACCCAGAAATCGTATGTTCAACACTTCTGTATTATATCATGGTTCCTTTTCTAATTCTGTGGATATAAGCAGGTGTGGTGCACAAGGGACAAAGGGTTTTGCCAGTGGCAGTGCAAACAGGGTGTAGAGATGTGGGCTGGTATAATAGAAACCACATGCTTGTTAAGTGCCCTATTTAGGCTTGTCTGCATGGTCCTATTAAAGCGAGTGTTGGCTCCTTTGATGGGGCACGAGACTGGTTTCCTTCATCATTTCCCCTGATTTATGTCACAGCAGCAAACTCATACGTCAGTGGGGAAAGACCAAGTAACGAGAGAAGTTAGCCAAGCCTCACCGCGTCGGCATGATAGGACATCAGATCCTTCAAATCCTTGCCTTTGGCAGCCTGTTAGTTACAGGGTTTAAATCATGCCTTTTAAGACACAGGTAGAGACACTAAAAAGCTTGGGCCTTTCTGAATTAGGGCCTGGATTGTGTAGTTAGAGTCATTTTCTCAATTAGCTAAACATAAATCAGTATAACGAGGCGCTTGGGAGCACTGGGCAGGTTTAGTACCTTGTCTCTCCTGCCTCTGTCCATACCACTCCCACCTGCTTGTTTGGCTGATCAGCCAGTGATTTTATTTTTTCACGCTGCTAGAGCTGAGCAGTGAGTTTTAATTTCTGAACTGGTTTTCACACCTGGCACATGTGTGCGAGAGGTGAGAACTGGGAGAAATTGCTCTCATGCAGTAAAAAAAGCAGCCCTCATGTGGCAGAGATCTGGCAGTCTCAGCACCACATGCCACACCACTCTTCAGAGGATGGGGACAGTGTCCTATTGAATAGGCACTGGTGGGTGGTGGCATGAGTACAGAAAGTCTAGCGGCAGCAGGGATGCCATTTGATGTGATATCAGACTGGAAAGCACATGGGGGGGCCAGGCATTGCATTTGTACTCTAGAGCTGGGTAGCCAACCCATGACTCCCTTTTCCAGGGCTACACCATGTAGGGGCTGTGCTGTTTTCTGGAAGCTGCTGGATAATTGAGATGGGACAGGTTGCGCTGGAAGCCCAGTTCAGCCCAGTCCTCTGGTGGAGCGCTGGGATCCATTTGAGCAGGCGGTAAGAGAAAAGCTTGGAGGTTGCTCACAGCAAAGAATGAAACCCCAAGAGCTGGAATAACCCATTTTGTGCCTCATGATCCCACTGGAGTGGACATAAATCATCCAATGTGAAAGCTGCAATGCTAGGGACACCTCTTCAGTCTCTTGCCTCTTGAAGAATGGGGGAGGATGTGGAAAGATGGCTGAATGAAGGAATAGAATCACTGTTCACCCAGACCATGCAGGGGCTGAAGCCGTGGCCCTCCCTGAGTCTAGTTTCAAGGGTTGGAGCTGAGTAAGACAAAAACACCCAAACCAACCTTAATTGCTCTGTGGGTAATAAAAGTGAAACAGGTCATAAATAAATCCCTGAATGATGGGCTTCCTTAACTTTCCCTATGCAGGGTTTCTTGCTTTTCTCTGAAGCAGTTGGCAGTGCTGGTGATGTATCTGAACATATGATCATCTGGTGTGATCCTCTCATGTTCTTGTTATCAGTGCTGAATCTGACCCTTCAAATGTCTCTCTGATGTTTCTTTTCTCTGCAGTGAGCAGTAATAGTCTTTGTTCTGGTTTGTGGGTGCTCCCTTATGATGCAGGGCCAAATTGAGCCCAAGATCTCAGTCTGCTCATTCGTTGGGAAGGCATTGCTCTAAACTCAGTGTGGCTTGGGAACTCTCAAACAAATACTGCGATGGGTTTATAACGGAACAGCAGCAGCCAAGGTCTCACTGACATGCATCAGGAGCAGTTCCAAA